TGTCTATGATGTTAGTGCAATATATTTGATGTTGTTATTTGTAAATAAAATTTAAGGAATCAATTTTATATGAGGCCTACTGTAACAAAACCAGACAAAGTGAACATTGGTATTACCAAATATTTCAGGGGTCAAAATTTAGTACAATCGGTGATTATAAATTCTTAAAATGTAACAATTTCTTAATCAAGTTTTTATCAATAACATTGTCCAAAATAATAAGAGATTATGCATATGATCATGGATAATCAATATATTGAAAAAAACTTAGAACTTTCTAAATAAAAGTACTGAGGTTGAGAAAACTTTCTACTGAATAGCTTTACAACTATTAATAAATGATATACTGTCTAAAGAAATTTTAAAATAAACATTTCTTTTAAAGGAAAAAAAATGTTAACCACGATTTTATGATCTGGACTTTTAAAACATATAACAGCCTAAGAAATCTTTGAAAAAGTTCTTTTTATTTGTAGATATGCTCTTTGATTTATAGTTTTGAGTGAATTATTTTTTATCCAGTGATCTTATATTAAGGTGAAGATTATGACCTTATTATTATAAATTACATTATCTAAAAATAAAATCTTAAGCATAGCATTTCTTCAATATACTATTAGTTTGTTTGATTAAATCCAAATTCCTAATAATAATGTTCTTTATCACCATTGATTCCTCACACAAACCACTAAAATCCTTAATCATTAAATCAGGGTTGGCAAATGTGCAGTCCATTGATGGTCTATTGGTGGTCCATTGGGTCCATTAATGTAACACTTTAACCATATTTAGTATTTGATTAATGGCAATGGACCAGTCAATTTGCCAACCCTGCATTAAATGAATATTATAACTTCTGATAAGCAAATCCATCTTTTTTATCAATGAAAATCTTTGAAAAGGTTCTGCGAATTTGTCCATTAAATATATTTTCAACTTATCTTCTATACATAATTTAAAAATAATATTAGTTAAAAAATCCAAAATATATGAATAAATTATTATTATAATCAACTTATGATAGAAATGAAAACATATAACTATCAATTTTTCTAACACATAAGTCAAAGCATCCTTAATCTCAAATCTGTCTATAAAATTATAATTATGTATATAACTATTTTTTATTTTTTGCGAATTTTGTTAACCTTTCAAAATCTTCATCAATATGTTCTTGCAAATCATTTCCATTATAGAATGGGCCATAGGATCATACATCAGGAAATTTTCCCGCCGTAATATTACATCCATAAATTTTAATATTAATAATAATAGGAAAGATTTCCGGCAAAAAAATTTTTATTTGTAAATATAAAAATAATAAATTTCTTGAATTCCAGATAGTGTATGCTCTATTGAAATCAAAATTCTTTACTTGGTGGACTCTCCAAAGATACTTGCATTAACACATCTAAAGTTACTGTATTTAATGAATTTCATCTTATTTTTTTAATTATATTTTGACAAGAAAACCCTCTTTCACAATCTATAGGTGAAAAAGGAATACTATATACTATTTTAATCAATTTAATTAAGTTATGAAATATATCAGAATAATCATTAATGAAAAGAGGAAGCATTGACTGCATATATTTTTTGCCATAATTATATAAAACTATAATTTTAAAATTATACTACTCTCATCATAATTTACTGGAGGAAAAAAAACTTCTTGATTAACTTTCTTTTGTTTTCCATAAAAATTTAATAAAGTATCTAATTCATTATTTCCATAATTTATAAATTCAATAGAATCCTTATCAATTGGATTTAGAGTTTTCATTGCTTTAATAGAGAACATTCGGGAAATCTTTCTTGTATTTGGTTTATAACCATAGAACCATTTAAATTGAACTAACCAACTTGAATTAAATTTCTTTTTACAAGCCTCAATTTCTACTTGGCATGAAGCAAGAATTTCTACTTCAATTGATAATATTGGAGGTATATTAAAATTTTTAGATGAAGACAATAATAATAGTCATAATTATAAAATGTCTGATAAAAAGAAAAAGAAGAACCTCGGTGGTAATAGTAGTAGTGGTAGTAGTGATAATGGGAATAATAAAATGATAAATGTGATGATAATTAATGCATGTGGGATTTTTAAAACTTGTCTTAGTTTAGACAATTTATCAATAAATAAATCAACAAATTTTTGGTGGCCAGAATATTTAACTTTACTTTTCAATCATTCTGACTCATACCAAGAATTTGATTTCCCATCAAAAATTCAGGCAGAAATAAAAAAACTTTACCAAAACACTTCATGTCTAGAACTATTGACACGCAATATAGAAAATGACTTTCTTCTGGTGGAAGATTATAAAGATCGTGTACAAGTATTGGAAATGTATAATCTGAAGACTAATGAATTGGAAATGGTTTTTCATCAGAAAGAAGAATACAATTCTTTCGATTTAAATAACAATTATTTTAGTTATGGAAATCCTTCGATTGCGATCTCAAAATATAAATCATTGTTGGCTTATTGTCGAGGGATCAATAGTATAACAATATACCTGATGGAAAATAGTTTAGACATTGTCACAAAAAATTTTTTGAATATAGAAAGAATTCTAACAATTGATTTTATTAACGAGGATGAATCTTTATTAATCATTGCAATAGAAAAAGATAATCTAGATCCTATTATTATCATATGGGATTTATTTAATTATATGAATGATTCAATACGTATCATTAAAGATTTTAATAAAATATTCTCTATTAATGGATTGAAGGAGAGAGGATTTAAAAGAATGTAAAAACTATTCCACTAATAAGCAAAGTGAATTAGTTAATCAATCGTTCTTTAAAAAAAAAATTTTTTGTTAAATTCAACAAATTATTTCTTAAGAGTAAATCGTAAAATATTTGGGATGTTGGTTGGTGATGGAAATGTTGAAAAATAAAATTGTCAAATTTTATTTTATTTTAAAGAACGATTTATTTTTTTAAAAAAAATTATACAAAGAATTTACATGTGTATCTTTATATGATTATGAATATTTCAATTGTATTTATATACAATATACGTTACATACATACATCCAATACAGTATAAAGAGATCGAACAGAACAAATTGTTTTGATTTTATTAATTAATTACATTATTTATAATTTCACTAATTTCATCATATTATTATATTTGATACTTTCAAATCCATATAAAGATGTCACATTTTTTAATATAATAATCAACGATTAAGTTTTAAAGAAAAAAGATTTTTGTCTATTGTACCAATAATGTTGTTTTCTACTTCTTTGTAAATTACTATAATATTTTGTGATCTAAATCTGGAGAATGCGTGTTTATTTCTTTTTTGTATCTATTGATATAAATTTGGTAAAACATTTTTTTTAAAAAAAAACAGTAAATTACGAAATTAGGAATTGCAAGTAAATCATTTACAAAATTGGCTTACAAACAATGTATTTGTGCACTTATTAATTATTTGTGCTTTAGATAGGTGATAAGCACGTGAACAAAATTATTAATAATAAAATTTTGTTAGGCTTTTTATTTGTTGATATTTTAAACTAATATGGAAAACACGAAATCATAAAAAACTGTAGTAAAGTAAAAATAATTAGATCAAAATTAAATTAATACATACGACCAAAATAATTTAATATTAAAAAAATATGATAAGCATTGACGGCATCTCCCCCGCAGAACTGTTAAAAAATTTGCAGTAAAATCTTTCGATTTTGTCCAACAGATTGATTTGCTAATCGGTCCAATCGATCCAACCAATCAATTAATTGAAAAAGTTGTTATCGTTTATTAATATTTACTGCGATAAATAATCATGAGAATGAAAAATCCCGATTATTCCCAATTTTAATTTTTTGATAGGCATGAATTTACTAGAATGGAAAACAAAGTAAATATAATCATAGAAAATAATTGGACGAATTATGCATAACGCCGATGAATTAATTAGATCATGTTTAATTTTTTAATATTAACAGAATTAAATGAACGGACGGACAAACTCTACTAAAAATAATAATAATAATAATAATCATTCAATGTCTAATTAAAATATGTGATAAGCAAAAGTGTGAAATTTTATTATTAGCAATACTAATTAATAGATCATAAATACATTTTTTACAATTGTATGATAAATTGATAAATTGATAAACTTTAAATATCAAAAACATTAAAAATAATATCTTAAAATATTTTTAATTACAAATTATAAGACTTACAAGTTTTTTTAGTTTTTTGTAGTGCAAAAAATACACAAACTTTTAAGGTTACATTTTTTGATATAGATAATAATGATGGGTTCTCTATTGTTATCCTAATATTGACATTGTTTTTAAAAATAAAATAAATAAACAATAAATTAAAATTGTTTTTTAGTGGTTAAAAATATCCTGCATATTTAATTCTACTATAAAAGTTATTGGATAAATAATCAATAGATAAATGAATAGATAAATGAATAGATAAATGAATAGATAAATGTGGAATGAGAATGAGGATGAAGATTGAGCAAAAAATGATAAGATTACGTGTCAAAATAAAATGAACAAATTTAGTTTCTGTCCTAGCTATTATGGGTTTCTTGGCTTCGAAACCAATAATAATTGCCCATATACTTTTATTGCCTTGCATCGGTCAAACAGTCAATGGCGTTTTGGAAGAAAAGAACAGGCTTTTCCCATTATGGCAAATGAAAAATTACAGATTCATCCTCACATTGTAAAAAGAAGTTTTGCTCCTTGGAGAAAGATGTGTATTTTTTATCTTCAACGAACTTGAATTCGAGTATGTTTTAGACTTGTGGAAAAAGTGTTATTCTTTTTAAAGATTTTCGAAACCTGATTTTTCAGTTTACGCCCCGAATCAAAAAAGGGAGGATTTGCTTTCAAATTTGTAAAGCATTCATCAATGGGTTGAGTGACCTTGTGAAGCTTAACAATGGCTTAAAGGGCTGTTGGAGTATGTGATGCTATTGTTTGAAATCGTCTTTCTACAATAATTATTGTTACATACATCCAGTTTGACGTTAAATGCAAGTAATTTGTCATTACGTATTTTAACTTGGTGTATTCTAATTGTCTAGAGATAGACACGAACTTCATAATCTTTATGATCGATCTCAACATTTCAAAGAAATATGGAATTCAAGAACCATTGATACACAGATAAGTGCTCAATATTCTATTATGTGTGGACTTTATAGCCATAGCCGAAATATTTTCAATCGACCAATTACCTGTTGTCTTTTTATCACTTCAAATTTGAAATTTTAATTTTTTTGTTGGCCAATAAAAAAATCGTTGTGACGGTTAATAACCAATTCTACTAAATTTGAACCCCTGCAATTCTTTCGTGCCACATGTTTAATTTGTCCAGCATGCCCCATGATTTATTATATATATATATATATTTATATTTATATATATTATTTTATAATAAATATAAATAGTAAATCGAAAATTGTTTTTTTTATTTAGGAGAATTTATTAAAATAAATAAAATTAAAAATAAAACACGTTAAATAATTATGTGGCAGATCTTTTTTAAAAAAGATTTACCTAAATTTAAAGTTTTAAAGTTGATTTCGTCATCTATAGCTTAAACTCATTTTTAATCTATGTTTAGATTATTTTTATTATTATTATTATATTATTATTAATACTTATTTATTTCCAGATTGTCAGAATTATTATTATTATCATTAATTTTTATTATTTGAAAAAATTAGCATAATGTCTCCGTTAAACCCTATTGTTCAATTGTTATCCGTTGATGGGTGGCGTTTTTTTTTCACAAAGGAATTTTTTTCTCCTATATTATAAATATAATTAAATAATATTCATTAATTAGTTGTAAAATATTATAAATTAGAATTTAAACAATAAAAAACTAAATCTATTATTTATTTTAATGGTAGATTTACTACTACGTTGCTGTTATTGTTATTATTATTATTATTATTACTATTAGTAAATTATTAGTTACTATTAACCACCAACTACTTTACCCATATTTGACGCCTACCTTACTTTATCTTCTTCACTTTGTTTACGAAACTTTTTTATTAATTAATTATTTTACATGTTATTAATAATATTTTAATATTTACATATTTATATACATACATACACATATATATATATTAATAATAAATTATATATATATATATATATATAAAATATTTATAATTTAGACTTTATAAAAAAATTTTTCCAATAAAATAAACAAAAGTTTTTTAATTACAACAAATAGAAAAAATGCCTGCAACTCGTAAACATCTTCATATTTCGAAGCCACGTCGTCGTCAAAGGTCTGTCAGTTTAAACACTCGTGCTTCACGTTGTGGTGTAAAAAATTTTTTAAATGTTCTTAAAAGTCTTCATCCTACCGTTGATTCTTTTTTCCCGGTAACAAAACAATACCTACAAGAATATATCGATGCAAAAAAGAAACAAGGTACCATCAAAGCAAATTCTTTGGACCAATACTTTCAACATATTGAAAGTTATAATATGGCTCTTAATTATGGTTGGGAATCACAAGAATTTGAACCAATGATGAGAGAGGTTTTAGAAGAATTAATTGAACATGAAGAAAAATCAGGCGCTGCTGTTGCTGCTGCTGCCGCTGCTAGTAGCAATGGTAGCATTGGTGGTAGTAATAATAGTAGTAACAATAATATTATAGTAATAATAACATTAATCATCATCATCATCATCATCATAAAAAAACAACATCAACATCATCTGCTACATCAGGAGAAATCGATGATTTAAATCATCATAATCCAATTTCAAATGGTATCGAATCATATTTTTATATTTTATATTTTATATTTTATACTTTTATTCTTAAAAAAAAAAAAAAGGAATGATTTTAAAAAAAGTTATATATATAATTTTTAGATGTGTAACAATTCTTTTTCTTTTTTCTTTTCTATATACACATACACACATATTAAATACATACGCATATATATATATATATATATATATATATATATATATATATACATACATACATACATATATATTTATGTGTTTCTTTCTTTTTAAAAACATAATCTAGCAATCTTCTTATCTTTCCCAATTCTTTTTTTCCTTCCTCTTTCCACATAAAAGATTTACCAACAATTCCATTAGTGTGTTTCGATGTGACTCATGATCCAATCGCTAAAATTGAACGTAGTCTACGTGTATCTATTGCAAATATTGATCAAAACGATGATCCAAATCTTGTCATTCAACAATTAACCAACAACATTTCTAATCTAA